CTTTTTATCACAACAAGTCCACATAAATCCTGATTAAAACGAGTCCTCCCTCCAGTGTCATTTGATTATTTTAAAAGGAAAAGCTTCCAGGCCAGGTTAAAACTATTTTCCTTTGAAATGTTTATTTCTCTAACTGGAGTCTCCAATTTTAACTGGCTTCCCTTCTGCAACTGTGATCTTTCGATCCATCTGTATCAATCTGTAAATAGTCACTGTACCATTCTATTATAAAATTCTTGACAAATATCTGTTGTAATTATTCTATTCTTGATACTTAATAAATGGTAAAGCATTTAATACTTTAAATGCTCTAGCTCTATTATCCCCAACCCACCCAAAACTATTTTTAAAATCTTTTCTCTTCCCCAACAATTCTCAAACCTTTCTTAACAGGATGATTTTTATTATGACCTTTCAAATGTATCCAATTGTTAACTATTAACTTGTCTTCTAATATATAGTGGAATTTCTTCTGATTCTACTTTTAAAGCACACATTGGCATTGTTTTAACTGCCCTTAAGCAAAGTCTCAGTGCTTGAGTTTGGATAACATCCAATTTTTTTAGCCAATTTTTATCCACTGACCCATATACCACATGCCCAAAATCTATTCTTGAGCAAATTAACGTGACAGACCTTTTGTCAACCCTGCTAAAAATGTTATAATATTAAGTACCTTTTTACTTTTCCCCATAATGTGCTCTGTGATTTTTTTTTTCAAGTTAATATCTTATTAAAAACTACACCCAAAAAACAAATTGTTTATTAATCTGTATCATCTTCATAATCATATCATCTTCCAGACCTAAAAGACGATCCATTGTCATCTACTTCTACAATAAATGGCTTATGGCTGTCTGGGTGAATCAGAACTGGAGCAGATGAAAACAAGTCTTTGAGTTTGACAAAAGCTCTATCAGCTTTCAGTTTCATTGGGAAATGATCAGGGAGAGCAGCTGAATACGAGACCACATTGTAATAAAAATCCCCCACAACTACCCGGCTCCCCGGAAAAGGAGCATTACACATGCCAAAAGGCATAACCGTGTACTGCAGGAAGTGGTCCAGCGTTACAAAAGCTGAAATTATAATTCACATTGGCAGTAATGACCCCGTTTATGTCAATCGGAAGTCACTAAAATCAGTCTTGAATTGGTGCCAAAACAATGTCGGACTCTGTCGTTTTCTCTGGTTTCCTCTCCAATCGGACCAGTAGTGACATGTTTAGCCGCATGTTCTCTTTAAATTGTTGGCTGTCTGAGTGGTGTCCAAAAAACAATGTGGGCTTCATAGATAATTGGGAAACTTTCTGGAGAAAACCGGGTCTTGTTAAGAGAGATGGCATCCATCCCAGCTGGATGGAGCAGCTCTCATTTTTAGAAATCTCAAAGTCTGGCCAAATTTATTAAATCCCACAAAATGTGACTATTCAGAGTTGGGACCAGGAAGCAGAGCTGCAGTCTTACACACCTCTCTGCAGCTTCTCTCCTCCTGCTTTGCCCCCAAAATCCA